CCTCTTATGTAAGGTTTCATTCTCTTAGCTTGCAAATTTGATATTTGGATTTTATGGAAGTAATTTATGGTAGTGCTAATATTCCTGACAATTTTGTATAGTATTTTATGTGGCTTTAAAATAAAAGTATTATGTAAAAAAGTAAAAATAATTAACATGAATAGAAATAATTATGATATTGAAATAATAACTCAGAATTTCTAATAATTTTGTTCGGCGGACAGTGAAAGCAATTTGATATGATGGAACTTTGTTTGATGAAAAGTTAATCTTGAATTTAAGTTGAATGCAATTGTATGATTCATATAATAAAATGTATTGTAGGATCAAAGTTTTGTTGTTGAATAGCCAGAGTTCTTCCTAAGACCTTAGTATCTCTTCAACAGGAAAGAACACATATTATAAACATTTTAATATCTAACTAAGAATATAAATTTTGCTTAAATAATCATATTTTATTCTCGTTATTTTATTATATTATCTTTATTCTTCTGTCATTGTAGGATTTCAATATATATTTTTACATTTTTATATCAAATACACTTCAAAATTCATGTTTCTTATTTAAAGTTTAGAGAAACCAATTTGATGCTGGAAGTTTACCATAAATTTGCTTTTAAAGTTATAGGTTTTTTTTTTATATTCTTCTTCTATATGTCAACTATCTTGAAACATTATTTTTCAATGGTCATGACGGTTATTATCTTGAAAGATAATTCAATGAATAAAATAGTTTATTTTATTTTTGGCATATAATACGACTTTTTGTAAAAAAACATGATTATTAAATATAAAGTTACCAAGATTTCTAGTTAAAGGTGAAATTGTTGATTATTACTTTTAATTTTAAATATTTTAAAGAGGTTTAGTTTGTGAAATTATATTTTTCTATTATATATTGCTATCATTTAAAAAACAAGAATGTTTTGAGATCTTTAACATTTATATATTTATTGAAATGTGTTCCCCACCTTAATATTTTACCTCTGACAAGTACAAAAATTGGAACAAATAAAATGTGCTGAAGAATAGTACTGAAAATAGGTAAAGAAAATTTGACAAGTGACTTAAGTAGCGCATAAATAATTAGAAGTTCCACTCAAATGAAAACTTCTTGTTTTATGAAGTAATGTTAGAATATGTGAATAATTTGCATGGTAAAATAAGATTTTTAAAGAAAAATAGTATTGATAGGTACAAAAATAAAATTATATATATATATATATATATATATATATATATATATATAAAAGTCATAATATGAAATGGTATTTTGGTGATTGAATAAAAAAAACTATTTATAAACAAAAATTAATATTTCAAAATGTTTAAGTTAAAATGACAATACTTTAGAACTAATTTCATACGGATTCACTTAAATATAACAAAATTAAATGATAAAGATTTCAAAAAAACAAAAAAAAAGTATATTATTTAAACATCTAGCTTCATTAGCTTATAAGTGAAATTACTTACTTTATTAGGGATTATATAGCAAACACGGACTAGTAACTACTTAAATAGAAGTCAATAATTCCTTCTATTTATTTTGTTAGTCTAATTTCAAACACATGTTACCGTTTGGTCTAACTTAAAGGTTATTTATAAAATGTAGTTTGACGTTAAAGTGAGTATAGATTTAACAGTTTATTGATAAATACAAATTAAATGTCACTAATTTATCACAATACTTCAAATCTGCATTTATAGATTTTAAAATGGACTTTGGATTAGTGTCGTCTAATTACGGTCCAACTTGTAATAATCATGCTTTGGTTCTTAAACATGTATTTATATAAATTCCAAAGTCGACTTTAGATTAATCTTGATTTAATTATGGTTCAACTTTTAATGATTATGTTTTGGTTTAATATAATCATCCTTAGTCTTAAACTATGTTTAAGGTTTGACTAGTGAGACAGCTCGGTTTACGTTATAGAATAAAAAAAGTTACAGATAGATAAGATCGTTATGTTCTTATTGATCGGACAATCATATGGTCAATTATTTATAAGATATTCCTTCTAAAAACTATTATGCAATTATTTTATATTTGTGAACTTATATGGATAGATATATGTAGACTTTTAAAAAAAAATTAAATAACATTACTTAAAATATAAAATAAAAAAATTAGTCTTAAAATATAATTAAAATAATTATATAACAATATTAGATAAAATAAAAACATTTTTTCTAAAAAAAATCAAATCAATTAGATAATAAATATAAATGTAAATAAAATTAAGTTTTTTTTTAATAAATTTAGTTTCATAAATATAAATCTATACAATTGAATTAAAAATTATTCTTTAGTTAATAAGGTTTTTCTCATCCAAAAAATATATATGTGTGTGTGTGTTAGAAAGGCTTTTGTTGTACAATTTCCATTAAAAGGAAACAAATGTTGAAATGAAAGTACACAACTACAAACTCACAACATCCATCACCATAATTAGCACCAACCTTCTATCTTGAAAATTACTATAACAAACTTTCTTCTAATGTATTAATTGAAATTTATTTATTATATATTACACGTGTGTGTGGAATAACGTGATTTTCATTTGTTCCAAAAATATTTTACACATTATTTAAACATTTGTTTTTTTTTTTTCTGATAAATTACTAATTGTTTACACTACTATCGCTATTAAATTATAAAAGTACCTTAAATATATAATGTAAAAAACACATATTTTCTTTTCTTTAACAATAAATAAATATTAAAGAGGAAATTGTAATAATATAAATCTTAAAATAGATAATCAAATAACAAATATATAACTACAAACAAAAGTAAACAACTCTTTATAAGAGAAATTTCATGATATATAATACATTATTTTTATAAATATGAAAAGGAAATATACTTTATGGATTTTAGTGAATTTTGTAAATATTGGATGAGTTGAACCATTGACAAAAAAAAAATTAACAGAAAACAAAAGATAAGTGTTCAACGTTAACTAATAAATAATGAGTTTATATAAATTGAAAACTTAAATGTATAACCAAATATATTCATGTAACAAAAATGAATAACTATTGAGTAAAAACAATCAAATATATATTTTTTAAAAATGATTTAATTTGATGCAATAGAAATTTAGATAACAATATGTAATAGATAAAGAATTCTTCAAATTAAATAGAATAACAAACAAAAAGAATAATAAAAAAAGTTATACCCTTTTAATTGCCTCTATTTATGTAGTTTTTTCTCAGTTTGATTTCTGTTTTTTTTTAATTTTCAATTGAGTTTTAAATAGTGCTAATTTAAATATGGCATGCTGAGAGTTAAATACGTGGAATTTGATCATTAAAAAATCTTTGACTGTTATTGATGGGATATATTATTATTGATGGGATATATTATTGAATGAATCCTTTTGAAAAAGTATAATGATAAGCATTTTGTAAAGTTTGAAGTTATATATATAATAAATGAAAAGTAGTCATTACTGATTATCCCTCTCATGTTCCAAATTTGACTGGGTTATTGTATCCGTAAAGCTTGAATTGAAGAAGATAGTTAAGGAATTGAACATTAAGTGTACCATAATCACATAATATTTATATTAAAAAATTGGATTAGTTCAGACTTTGGAAGTCTAGCCCGATGTTAAGTCACATTAGAGGATAATGATATGCCAAACTTTGACTAATAAAGAATATTTTGAAATACTATATTCGAAGTTTTTCAGTTTCCATGTGCTTTTTTCTTAGTAAAATGAGACGCGTTTTTCTAAATTTCAAGTGGGAGAATCTCTTTATATACCTACCTCAAATATTTTTTAAGTAGTAACAAGTGTATGTGGAACACTGTTAAGTAAGTGGAAAAACCCTTTTTGTCCTACAAGAAACATGATATTAAATTTAAAACTCTACTCTTGTAATCGATTCAAAAAAAATAAGAATCGATTCCTAACAATGATTTTTGGTTTTGTAAATGATAACAGATTATGCTGTTAGTGTAACTGATTCCAACCGATTCTAGCTTTGATCAGAACCTGTTGCCATTTTTACGGTTTCCAAGGTTCTTTTGTCGAAGGAGATTTTTAGCAGGAATCCGATTGTCACTATCAAGCCTCTTCAAGGTGCTTCTTCGTCTAATGAGGATGTGCTGTCACCAGAGAATTCACCCAAATTTGGAGAACACCCTTGCACCTATTGTTGTTGTTCTTTGCTATAAATTATTTATTATTTTCTTTGTGGAGTTTCATTTTAATTTTCTCCACCTGGTTAATTCTATTATTAGGTTACAAATGCAACCTTTTTTTCATTTCAGTTTCCTAAAAAAATAAATATTACATTAATTATTTAATTGATTTTTTATTTTACTATTTAAAATAACTTTTACAAAAAAATATCTTATTCATAAAAATCATTTTATATTACTATTACTATTAAAGACAATTTGATAATATTAAATTTTTATTTATTAAAATATTTTTTTAATCTATCACATCATTCAAATCTCAATTTTTATAAATTTTTTTTTCAAATCTATTCTCAATTACTTTTAAATTCCTTAAAAAAAACAGCACACAATTTCCTCTCTTAGTTTTCTCACATTCGTTCAAATGAACATTCTCATGTAATTTAGAAGCTTATTCTAAATGTAGTTTATTATCATATTTCTCCTTTATTCTTCCTTTGATATACCGAAAAGAGTATAACATTATAACATTCAGCAAACTTCGAATAGGTGAAATAATAATAATAATAAATTAAAAAGCCTAGAGTTAGTACGAATAGTTTTTATAAAAAAAAATGTGAAAACTATTAAAAGAAATTGGATTATAAAATCAAACTTCTAAATGACTTTTTACAGGTTTACAATGCACAAGTTACAAAACATCCGAAAAAGTACAAGTTTTACAAAACATTGAAAAAGGACAAGTTAGAAAACATTTGACAAACAAAGTAAAATGAAGATGCATGGTGTGAAAAGCAGTTTATTATAAGAATAATAAAATACAGTAGGCATACAAGGGTATGAAACTTGCAAACTTTCCCAGGTGACAAAGTTGAAGATATTTGATTGATGGGAATATTGAGAGGGAAAAAAAGGGTAACTAAACCAAATTGCACGTAATAACCAGAAAACTTCTATGAAAGGCATGGTTCCTAAACTTTTCTATTTATACAATAGAGACCCCAAATTTGAGAAACCCCAACTTAATGATGTTTTTCTTCTTCTTCCTTAAATGCTCATGGGACTCAGAGGTTCGTTAAGAGCTGCAATGGCTGTCTGGATCTTTATCTCCAAATGATACTTATCTTCTCCATTGGCCTGAAAAAAAGTGTATAGAATTAAATATAATATTATCTCTTTTCATAATTTTCTATAACAGTGTGTGACATTGTGTAGCAGTGTTTCTGTTCAAGAAAAGGTGACGAAACAAAAAGAATTAAGTCATCACATGCATGTCTAAGAGATATGCTTGTTGGATATATAGTGTTTTAAAATGTTCAGAGGTTACTGTGTTTGATAAGACTTTTTTTAAGAAAAACATTCTTAGAGAACTAGCATTTGAAGAATACTTTAACAATATTGTTTGTTTAAACACTCTTACAAAGGAAGGGTTGGAACCAAAAGTTCTGATAAAATAAGGAGAATAGTTTTAATCGTGGTGATAATAACATTCTACAGAACCTTTTAAACGTCGTTTCAATAACAGAAATCATATTTTATAATCTCCACTTATCATTAGATTATTTTTTAATTATTTTCTAGATTATTCATTGTTTCATTCTATGGCTATTCTCTAACCTAATGTTCCTTTCCAGACTTTCATATCAAAATTAAACTATTAAACCATATAACTAAAATGAAAGTTGATATTTAAAAAATAAAAGAATATGGACAGATCTTTCCACTAAATTATTACAACATATAATAGTAACAATTAATTTGAATATTTTAGCAGTTAGAACTATGGTTGGACATCTGTATAGCATATTGAAAAGAGGAAAACAAAACACGTCAACCATGACATATTTTATAAAAAAAAAACACGTCAACACTAGATATATTTCAATTGTTTTTTAGAAAGACAGATAGTGCGGCACTTGTTTGTTTTTTAAATCTTAAGCATCTCTATTATGAACTAATAGTCATGTTTAATAGCTATTAAATATTTGGTATGCAATCATTATAATTGATACGATATATCTATCGTTTTGGAGTTGACATTGCTTAAGAAGTAATTGAGAACCCAATTTAATAACGTGCACATAAGGGTATTACCACATTGATAATTTCTTGAATATAAATTTCATTTTTATCGTACAAAAAAAAATTAAGTGATGATAATCTTTTGTAATTAAAACTAAATAATTTTTTATTAAACTTGAACTACGTGTCTCACTTGTTTAAGATATATAAATTAGTTCTGTTATACTTTAAATAAATTAAACTTACAACTAAGCATTAGTCTTTTTTTTTATTCAGACAATTAAGTATTGGCTATTAATTAGTACTAAAGACTTTGGTAGTTCCATTAAAACGAAACACCTGTGAATCTCGTCTACAAGAAAAAAAAAAAGTTTTGTGGATAAATACAATTCATGTTTTGTTCTCCAAGTAGCAATATTCTAAACGGCTCTTTCAATAATGCATTATTTGCCGTAGAGCTTGAAACATCGGTTGGACGTTGGAACACACTTATCTGTTTCTAAATTTTCAAAAACTGCTGTTGTTTCTAAAAAAGTAGCATAGTTTTCCAAATCTAAACACGTCTCTGAGCTATTATTAATTTTTTATTGTAAGGTCTCACTTTCTGTCTCTTATTTTTATTGAGTCCCTTTTAAAAAACAACAGACTCTTGAAATTCATTGTCGCGTTTGCTATCTCAAAATAAAGAAACACAAGGGAACAAGCAAGCATTTTTTTTTCAAGTGGGCATTAAAAATTTGTATGTACTGTAATTTATAAAATGCACTCCTGTCTTATCGTTTTCCTCGTGCTATGGTTTGACTTTGAATTAAATATAAAAACACGTTTATGTGTCTGGCAAATAAGAAGCTTCCTTAATCAACGTAATGGTACTCATTAAAATACCCTCTTCTGTGAAAAAAAAAAGGACAAATAAGAAGGAAAACCAACATAGCAGTGAAACGACAGTTGAATGGTCTTTGACGGGTACGTTTTGGAATGAAGATTGAAATAGTAATAATTAGAATCAGACAGTGGCTAAACGACAAGTGGTTTTGCGTTTGGGTCAAAAGATGGTTGTTTTAGTAAGAGTGGAGCGTGGACGTGGGAGCGACAGAGTGAGTGCAGAGGAAGGTTCGTTATATCGTAGGATGCAAGAGTTGTTGTTGTTGTTGTTGATGAAATTATTGTTTCTAACGAACGAATAAATAACGATAACAAGAAAAACAACAAGAACGTGCGCGATTGAAAAACGGAACCACTTGGGTCAGAGTCACGCCGATCCATGAAGCCTTTTTCACAAGCAGAAGAACGAGAAACACGTTGTCAAAATTCCGTCTTGGTTTTGGTTTTGGTTTTGGTTTTACTAATACTATGTTGTTGAAATTACCTAACAGTGAAGACTCCCCCAAGTTTTGGTCTGTCTCCTCTCGAACAACAATGTCGCAGCCATGTGTGAATGAGTGTTGTCCTCCCAAATGAAATTGATTGTGAGAGTGTTTAAGCATGACAGAAATGTGGGTTTTATGTTGTCTGATTTGGTGCAGTCGTAGATATCTAGGACACTATTTAGGGACAAGCCAGATACAATGGAACAAGGGAAATTGGATTACGTTGCAGTCCTTGTGCTCTGTTTGGAGCACCAATGGTCGAAAGCGACAGTCAAAAGTGAAACAAGAAACAGAAACCGAGATCTTGCGGGGAGTTCACTGTAGTAATTGTTTTCTTTCTAAAATGAGAATACAGATGAAGAAAGGCGTTATCATCACTATATAATCTATTATATTGTTATCCTTTTCAAAATCATCTATTATATTCAAAATTTTATGTTCATTGTGAATTCAAATTTTAATTTATAAGTTAATTTTTTAAAATTAAATTAAAATTTTAAAATAGTACAGGACTTTATTGTTATCACTTATTCAATCTTCTTACGTTTTCATGTTTGATATTATAATTATTTTTCATTTGATTAGTTAAAAAGATATCTAATTAAGAAACTAAGATAGGTTTTTTATAATTAGTTGATTAATTCAATTACCTAACTAATTTGGTAGTTAATTAATCAATTCGATTAGATAGTTAACAAATCAATTTAGTTGGTTAATTAACAAATTAAATTAGTTAATTATGGATTAACTAATAATTGAACTAATTGACTAGTTAACTGATCAATTTATATAGATAGTTATTAACCAAATCATAAATTAAACTAATTGACATATTAAACTAATAATTAAACTAATTTATTAGCTAACTAACCAATTAGATGAATTGTCTAACATACTAAGTTAATTTATATAATCAGAATAAAATAATAATAAAGTCATAAATCATACTAATTGACATATGGAAAGCAACTGTATAAAAATAATATTAGAAAATAACAAAATCAATTCCATATCATATACTTAAATAAGATCAATATCGTTAACGTCAAAGACACGAATAATTGTGTCTTAATTTTGTGTCGTTTAATAAATTTGTAATATGTTAATCAATTAAGTTCCCAGGTAATAATATTTTGAGAAATTCATTTGAACTTTTTAAAGACAAAATCGATTGTTAAAAAGTAAACTAGATGCTTCAATTTGAAGTTTAATAAAAAAAAATTAATATAAATTATTTTCATGAAACTCAAAATTCATAAATGGTAATTTTTAAATATTTTTTTATCTTGTAAAAGTTGATCTTTTACAATCAAATGAGATTATTTTATTTTTTGCAAATTTATCAGAAGAAAATATTAATTATAATTGTTATCCATCATACGTGAATTATTTATTAAAGTAAACTAATTTTTACATATTTGAAACACACCCTGGTCAGCTTGACTTGATGGTAATAAAAAAACATGCACTTTAAATAAGTATCGCCCTTCACTTCAATTTTGTCTTTTATAAATGTTCAAGATCGCAACAATGACAAAATATTAAAACCCTACAGGTGTGTTTGGTATTTACGTATCTAAATTTTTCTTGCCAAAAACAGTAGTGTTGGCCTTTGATTTTTCTTTTTATTTCTTATCCGCCAACTTTGTGATGATACAAAAGGAAAGAAAAATGTTTTTTTTACAGTAGTTGAACGACTTGGCAACACAATTTTTATCATTAAAAAAGTTAATTTTGTATTTCCAAAAAATAAAGAACGAAAAATAAAATAATAAATGTAAAATATGTGCAAAAATTTGTTGAGGATACCAAAATGAAATTAAGCATCCAGAAAAGGAAGCATAATCTTGTTTTGTAGGAAGCTTAGTTGATAATGTTGTTATATAAAGGGAAAGGTCATTTTATTTGAAATTGGATTTCCTGTGAGTTGAACTGCGATATAATTAAGGGAAAAGACTTGAGAATTTTAGGAGTAGTAAGAATCACGCAATCTTTTCTTCCATGTTATCTGATTACTTTTTTTAGTATGACTACAACTTATATGATGTTATGAAGAAAATTACGAGTCTTGAGTCTTGAGTCTTGACCGGACTTCACTCAGAAATTCTGGTTAAAGCCCTCATGATTGCCCTCAAAAGTCTAATACTATTCCTAATGGGTGTTCCACATTTCCACTTTTGCTAAAGTGGTCTGGTGCTTCTCTAGCACGTAGGCCCAAATTCTAGTTGTAACTTCTTTATTTTTTGTGCTGTTATATAGTATAATATACACCACACACTACATTTTCTATAAGATTGTCCTCATTATGAGTTAAAAAATGGAGTTGGGATCTCACGCACCTACCAATTTACCAAAGCTAATTTAATGGGGATAAAGAAAGGGAGGAGAGGGAATAATATATTATAGTAAAGATAGGAGTGGTTGTGAAGGGAAAAGTGATATATATCATGTGATGAAGGAAAGGAGCTAAGAAGACTAACCTCGATGAAGACTGTTTTCAGAAGCCTCCCTGAAAACGAAGTTATGTTAGCAGTGATGATCTTGAGCTTCAAAGATTCGAACACCTCGCACAGTTTCACCATTGTGTCTGTCCTTTTGCTGCATGTCAAACTCACCACGGCAATTTTCTCCCCCATGTAGGTCACGCTCAGCTGCATCCACCACGGCAAAAATCAATTAAAAATTCAAACGAATAACAACAAAAATCGCACGATACCCCACATCATCTTCGTATCACAAATCACCAATACCCCACATTATTTTTATAGTATCAATAATGCAAGAGAGAGAAAGAGAAGGGGATTAACATCAAGGACTTCAATTGGGGAGTTTCTTGAAATGACTGAATCGTATATCTGCTCGGTTCTCTTCTTCTTGGACCTCAGCACCACAGGAAGCTGTTCCTGCTCAAAGTCATAGCTCGAACTACTCTTGTTTGGCATCCCAGATTCAAGATTCATGATCTCAGCTTGGATTATCTTCTCTTGCTCGTGCAAATGCTGGATGTAGTCAATAGCATCCTTAATAATTGAAGCCTTATCCATCTGCAGCAAACAAACGCCACTGATCATTCTATAACAGACACAATTTCACAAACATGAAGCATGCCTCATTTTCTTCTCTCTTATGTTTAAACTCAACACTCCCATTTAGCCTATTCAAAGATATAAATGCGCACACAAAATAAACAGTAAGTTAATAAGCTATTAATTAATTAATTAATCAATCTATCAATTAATCAAAGCTTACCTTGCTGATATTAGGAACCACCGATCTAAGCGCGAAAAGCCTTTCATTGAGCTTCTTCCTCCTATTCCTCTCTGAAACAATGTTCTTAGATGCTGCAGATGAAGCAGCACCATCAGGGGAACTGGAATCGTAGTAGCCTGAAAAAGCCTCCTCGAACCCCCAATTACTGGTGAGGAAAAACAACGCCAAAACGAATAAAGCAGCTTACGTTAGCCGTATTTGAGATTAATTAATTAATTATTGATGAGTTGTTGATATTATTGTGATTAATTAATGAATGTTAAGTGGTACCTGTCAAGCTCTTGGGTCTGGAGGAACATGGTGGTCTCCCAGTAATGCTTGTACTCTTCACCAATATTCTCCATGATTAAGGTTGAGAGAGAATGGGGAGAGAATATGGTGATGAAGGTGGTGTGTATAATAAGAATAATAATATTATGTGTGTTTGTTTCCCCTGTTTTGTGCTGTGGTTGTATGCGTTGGTTTCTTTGTGTTGGGAGACTTATATATAGGGAGAGAAGAAGTTCAGGCTGGAATTAATCACGTGACAAGATCAATAGTTCATCGGACTGGTCTCTATACTCTCTTGTATTTGCTGCTTCCTAGAAATATCCAAATTGTTCAAACTGTTCGGTCCGCATTTAAGGCATTCATCTTCATTTTTTAAAAATTAAAAATTAAAAGATTAAAAATAAAAATTCCTGTGAAGATTTTAGATTTAGAGAGAAAATAATTAGAAACAATTATTATAAGTTAAATGTAATTTTAGATTCAATTTTATTTTTATGTAATTTTCAATTAACTTGTATTTTTTATTTTTCAATAAAATAATAATTATTTAATTTAACTTTACTATTAAATAAAGTATTTGCAAAAGATAAAAATATGGTATTTATATGTTTGTTGTTGTTTTCCAAGCATAGATAAACAAGATTCATGTTGATAATTAGTTAATTTCATGTCGTGCTTCTTTTTATTTAACTGAAATCTTGTAAGTTTGAGAATCTAAAATGTCATTATTCTTCTCTTTTCAAGAGAATCAAAATCTTCTAAGTTTGATGGATGGGTATTTTTGTAAAAACACTCTAGCCTTATGTAAAGAAATTAATGAGTAAATATAATGTTTTTCATACGTCTTTAATCGGATGAACCTGATTAATTATATTAAAGCTAATCTACACGAGTTTAAAATCCTCTAATATTTTATCTATTTCTTAATCATTAATTAATTATTTCTTATCTTATTTTAAACTGTTGTCCTGACTTGCATAGATGTGTCGAGATGACGTCATTACTAGATCATCTAAATTTTATACTAGATATATTTTTTTTAATTTGTAGGAAATATAAGTGTAATTATATTAGAAAGAAGAAATAATTTTGCTTGTATGAGAAAATTGAAAATCTAGGAACTGCATCAATAATTAGAAGAACTGAAACTTGTTTTTATATAATTATTATTTTTTATCGTATTTTCTTACGTGTGATAGAGAAAGGTAGAAAAATAATCAGAATAATATTTATCATTGTGCAATCAGCATAAATAGACGCCGTATATGATATTGTGCCACCTGTCCTTTGGTTGTTGGGCCTGGAGTCCAGGGCACAGATACTTTGAGTGAGTGTGAACAAACAAACGGATCCATTTAAAAAGCTTTTGTATTAAAAACATGTTTTTTATTTTTAATAAAAAAAAAAACTGAAAAACAGTTTTAACTTAGGCCTAAAACACACCTAGTACTTATGTTAGTAACTTGAATGTTTAAATCATTAACAGGGTTCTTCATATAACATAAGTCCATGCTTAATTATTTAGTTAATAGCCATGTTTGGAAAATGCTGCTGAAATCAAAATAGTTTATTTTTCTTTAGAGGAATTTCTACAATATTGTTAAGGATAGAGTAAAATAAAATAAAATATTTTAGAATTAGAGATATTAAAAATATGGTAAAATTATTTTTTGCAATTTATGCATACTAAACCGTTCCGTTTCCTTATTAACCTTAACTTACATAAACTTTGAGTTATGTGAAACGTGGATTAAAATACTCGATTTATTTCATACTTTTTTTTCTTGTAAATTAGCTTAGCATAATTATCCTTAAGTATTGTTTATACATAATTATTTTTTGATAGCGACAATAATATTTATAATTTTGCAACATTTTGGGTATTTTGAAATTAATTAATAAGTTTGATTAAGATGAGTGATGGAGTTTTTGTTTATTAATGAAATGGTTTGAATTTTGGTGATATA